CATCTACCACATGACAGCTAACTCCCCTCTTGGGCCCCTGACCCTTCCGGAAGCTGAAGGAATTGGGATTTGGGATTAGGGATTTGGGACCTGGGGAACGGAGCTATATGTCCTTTCCAATGAGTGAGTCCATGTTAGTCCTAGATAAAAGATTTTTTTCCTCTGTAACGTGTCAGCATCTGAAATACGTGTCTGATAAACATTTATTGACGGGAAGAAGAAATTAATATTTTCCTTCCCATTGGTTGTAGATTCTCTCCCTTACTTCCTCAGCCTCCCGCCTGCTCACAACCGCCCTGACCGCCTTCTGTACCAAGTATACCTACGCTGTCTGCAGAGCCCTCCTTGGCCCTGTACTCCAAGCTCCAAGAACAGGTAATTCTGGAACCAGTCCCAGGCCTGGTAGCTCTTCCCTCTCTGTTCCCAGCACCTTTACCCCAGGGTGGCCCAGACAGGAGGTGAATATTCAATGAATAAAGATATCTGTTGGCTTCCTGATGATGCCCCTTTAATGAGCCAGGCATTTTGTTCCCCGCTAGCCCCATTCTTTCCTGCTGTTTTCTCCTAGACTTCTCCCCTCTGCTGTCCCCTACCCAGGTCCAGCTCAAACCGAATTACTGTGTTGCCTTATGAAGGACAAGGCCCTAGAGCCAGACATGCAGGTTCTGATGCTGGGGTGAGTACACAGGCCCTCATGCTGCCCCCACCCCCTTCTCCAAGCCCGCTCGCAGTTCTGGGACGGGAGCTGGCTGGGCATCAGACCCTGTGCCCAAAAGACGGGCAGCAGCACAGCCAACGCCCCCTGTCACTGCCCTGAACCCCATGGGCCTGTGCAAGTTGACTTCCCGTGTGCCTTCCCAAGCTCAGGGTTCCAGTCAGGTGCCCAGGGAATGCAGAGAAGACGCTGGTGCTCCTGCTCTGGAGTTCACGGCATAGCTGGAACGTGGCACAGTGGCTCAGAGCGCTGGCTTTGGAGTCAGACAGACATAGTTTACAGTCTCAGCCTTGTCTTAGATTTAAATATGTGAATTCAAACAGGTTAGTCCATCCTTCTGAGCCTCTGTTTCCACATACAAAAAATAGGGATAATATGTATTCATTCCATAGGATTTTTCTAGATATTAAGTATAAAGAACTCAGCACAGGATTTGGCACCTAGTAAGTGTTCAAAAATTGTTATTAAATTGGTGTTAAGTTTGGGTATTAAAATTGGGGAATCAAGAAACAGTCATTGGACACCAATGTGAAATAGAAAATGCTAAGTATAATGTGAGAAGGTGACAGTCTTTAAAATAATATCAACTGCCAGTTATCAAGCACTTTTCTGTGCTTTAGATTCATTACTTCAGTTAATCTTCATGCAATCCTGTGAGGTCAGTGCTGCTGTCACCTTAGAGATGGAAAAACTGAAGCTCGGAGAGGTTAAGGGACCTGGCCAGAAGTCACACAGCCAGTAAGTGAAAAAGCCTGGGATCAAACCCAAGTCTGTGCAACCAAGAAGCCACACTGTTTCCATGTGACATTCTGCCTTTCCAGACCAGCTGAGGACTGCACAGCAGAGAAGGAGGTGTAGCTGGAGAGGACCTCACTGTGAAAACAGGATGCAGTCTTTTTTTCAGGAGACCTTTATACATCATTACCAGATCCTTCACTGTCAGCTCTGGAGTACTTGGGCTGTGGCCTTCCCTGCACTGAGTATGGGCTCACCAGGTGGCCACCAGCATCAGGAGGCTCTGACTACTTCCTCTGTTGACTGAGAGTCTTGGCTGTCTCCAGGGCCTTTCCCTGCCTCGGGGCAGGAGCAGTAGATATCCAGGCGTGGGTGGGAGTCTGGGCTTTTCTCACTGGGGCTTGTGTTTGCAGACAGATCCTGGAGCTGCCGTGGAAGGAGGAGTCTTTCTTGGTGTTGCAATCACTCCTGGAGCGGCAGGTGAGCAGGCTGCGGTGCGAAGAGTGGGCAAAGAAGTGCTGCAGTGCTGTGAACGGGGGTGGGGCTCCTGGGTTTCTGACCCCTTTGGTGCAGGTAATGGAGGGGCAAGCAGGACAGCTGCCCTCCAGTAGGGTGCCCCATGACAGTGGGAGAGTCCTGGGGCTGGAAGGTTAGTAGCAGAGAGCTGACTGCATGGTGGATCCCAGCTCTGCCTCTTATGCTGTGTGGCCTTGGGGAGGGACTTTCTGATGTGTGAGTACAAATTTAATTTTATTTTTGAATAGGTAATAGATTCATATGTTCAAAAATTTTGAAAGCTTAAAAGGATATAGTGAAAAATTTCCCTCTAGCCATCCAGATTCCCCTCCCCAGGACTAATCAGTGTTACCAGTTACAGAACACTCCCAGAGATGTCTTATATAAACAAGGACACATGTTTAAATTTACTTTTCCTCTGCTTTTTACATAGATGGTAACATACCAAGGTCATTGCTCTTCTGTTCTTTGCCTTTTTAATTTGACAGGATTTTTTGGCAATTTTTCCATGTCAGTACCTAAAATTCTGACTCATGTGTTTATAACTTAGGTAGTTGACCTAACCTCTTTATGTCTCAGTTTCCTTATCTGCAAAAGGGGAGCAATCATAGCACCTACCCTACAAAGTTGGGGTCAGGCTTAAATGGTGTAAGTGGTGTCATGTGCTCAGAATGGTACCAAATGCATAATAAGTGTGTACTAAATTACTGCTTTGAAGAGCTATTGTTATTATGCTGGCAGTACCCCTTGGGACCTCTCCTTACATCTTCAACCACTAAACCACGCTAGTTGTTTGGCCTTCCTTTGGTCCTAATCTGAGCCTTTGCAATTGTAGCCACTGTTTTCTGAGACTTATGTGCCGGGCTTTATGTGCATTATCTCATTTAATCCTTTTCTCAGTCTTTAGAGTTAAATATTATGAGTCCCATTTTGCAGATGTGGATACTGAGGCTTAGTTGGCTTAAGTGACCAGTCCAGGATCACCTAGTTAGGAAGTGGTAGAGTTAGAAATTGAATCTAGGGCCCTAACTTGTGCTACTGTCCCATCTCCTAATGTGTGCAGGTGGAGATGCCGCCTGAGAAGTTCAATGTGTTGATGGAGAAACTTTATAAAGAGGGGCCAGCAGCCACCATGTCAATGGCCTATGCCAAGCTCATGCTGACCGTGATGACCAAGTATCAGGCTAATGTGAGTGTTCATTTGGCCACGAGGGTTGGTCCTGCTGCTCTGAGCCTGCCAGGGGGATGTATGAATATCTGCCAGGACCTCAAGCCCAGCTGGGGAATGAGACTGCTTAGGAGATCCTTCATCCAGCCAAAACCACAGTGGGCCAAATACTACATGGGGCACTGGGGGATCAATAGTGACCATGATGCAGTCCCTGTCCTTGACTTGACCCTCTACCCTGGTGCCAGGCTAGTGAGAGGGGAGAGAGGTGATACACAGATCATTGTAATATATGGTAGGAGCCAGGTGAGAGGTGTGCACAGGGCATTTGATGACAGAGGAGGAGGGGCCAACTAAACTTTGTGGTTGGGAGCTGGGACAGGCTTTCTGACTCTTAAGGGTGCCTGTTGGTCAAGGGCTGAGATGGAGTAAAGGGCATTCCAGGTAAAAGAAATACGGTGAGCGTGAATGTCAGAGGGGATCTGCAGATAGCTGGGGCCTAAAAACTTGAGAGTGGATGGTGGTAGGAGATGAGGTTAGAGAGCTAAAATACTGAGAGCTAATA